TTTCCAACGCTCAGCGCATTTAAGCAATACATAAAAAACAAGAAAATTATTTTCATTTTACTTGATCTCGAAATTAAGTTAAAGGCGAGGATTTCGTTGCATTGAAGGAGAGGGAGGGGAGAGAGAGGGGAGAGAAATAGAGGGCCACATAGGGATGGAGGGGAGAGACAGGGAGGGAGAGGTAGTCATATACAGCAAAATGCATTTGTCAACTAAAAATCGTCATTGTATTACCACCGGAGGGCCGATACCGACAAGTAATACAGCCGTTTGTTGAGTACAGTGCGGGGGTTTGTACTACGTTCACAGAACTCACAAATGACCACAAACACCCGAGTTATCATCAAATTGCTAACCATATGTATACGGTTTACAGCATATCATCAATTGACAAAATATTATACCTGTAACTCATATAAAAAACCAGTTTTCAATACATTACAAAACACGGATCGTATGCGAGTGATTAGAAATGTGGCCATTACTCGGATGGTTGTGGCCATTGGCCCGAACCAGGGCTTTGCTATACAAACCTATTGACTGCACTCAACACCATTATATGGGGGTCGGATAGGGATCAGCGCCTCTCCCGGAGGGTTAACACTAACGATAAACCATTGAAATGATGATAATCTCAACAAACCTTCATCGAGGAGACGCTCGATGTGAATGAAGACATTGGGAAACGCTATCAACTGTTTTCGGTCCTTAAGAAGTTGCGCCAAATAGTCGGCCGTCGACTGCATCGACACGTTGTTGTTGGACGAGTTGGTCGTCGAAGAGTTACTGTTTTCACCCATCCTTTCTTCCTCCTCAGCCTCCAGAGCACCGATCAGTTCACACCGCAGACCAAATCAAAGGCCGTCGACTGCATCGACACGTTGTTGTTGGACGAGTTGGTCGTCGAAGAGTTACTGTTTTCACCCATCCTTTCTTCCTCCTCAGCCTCCAGAGCACCGATCAGTTCACACCGCAGACCAAATCAATTCAAACAATCAGATCGTGCGGTAAACACACAGTCCACGGATGGGATCCGATGTCTTCAGATGCCATACAATACATAACACAATACAAACAAAACAGACATTTAATTATCAATAGTTATGGTATAAACATATGATAATAACAACACAAACATAACATTAATGTAAAACAACTTACGATTTGGACAACAAATGGATGAGTGATTGGTTGTAGCGATTGTCGAGTCCTTTGTGGACATCAATTGTCAACTCAAATGAAGACTCGAAGAGTTTGTGGAACCGATTGAATACAATTCAGTGAATGAAAGAGTGAATCAAGAAATGATGACAACAGTTGTGATGGTATGTGAGAGTTGGGTCCCAAACATCTCTCTTCACATCTCAATACAAACTAAACACTAGTCTTAAGTCTCAACACTTGTGGTCAGAGAAACACACAATCAAAACATAAATCAAATGCAAATCAAACTAATTATCAAATAATCAAAAGCAACAAAAATACTACAAATTTGAGTCAATTTTTCATATCATTTCACACATTATTTTTTGGTCATAGACTTAACGTTATGTGTGTTGTTGTGTGGAGTGGTATGAGTGGTACTGCAAAGCACTGGTGCTGTGTCTCAGCTATAGCTGTACAGCGCTATCCCTATCTCTCTATCCACAGTCTCAGAGCCCTTCACAACACATCCACTGCTCATTCACAGCGTTTGCCAATAGTTTTGAGTCCTGTTTTCAGTGCAGCCAAACACTCAAACAGTGTGTTTGACTGTAGCTTTCAATGCATACACTCACGCATACAGTGCCCTAAACCACCCTTCCCTCTATCGGACTCCCCTCACACACGTCCCACACCAGTGTAGCCAACACTCGCATACAATACACTAACATATAGTGTACGATCACCTCTTCTACACCGCCTTATTGTTAGATAACTATTACGTAAGCCTACTATTAATGTACCCCCGCTATAGTGAAGTGCCTGCGCGCCGGCAAACATGCCATGGCTTTAGTGCCGGGCGTCGACTGTATCGGCGCCACAACGCCATCCAAAACACACGTATAGCCAGTTTGTATGGGACGGGTGTGCGATGAGGGGCACTGGTATGCGGTGTTGGGTTACTCTATATCCGCTGCAAAACTCTATGGGAATGTATAATATTGAGTGCATGTAATGTACGGCTGGTGTGTTGTATGTACAGTATTTTGAGGCCTATCCTCACCGTCCCATTGAGAGCACAGCACAACCACACACTCTCTGTTCGCATCCAAATGCCACACAAACAACGTTACGTTTAGAGTGGGCAGTAGTGCGGGGGCGCACATACCATACCAGTCCCCGCACACACACCAATGCAAAGCCCTCTCTCGCTGTGTGTTATGTATTACAACACGAGAAATGAAAGATTGATTTTTAGTTTTCATTTTTATTAATTTAATTTAATTATACGCAAAACATATGCACATAATTCACAGCACTTTTTATTAATTCATAAATAAAATTATAGTTTTTATTCGCTTTTTGTATTTGTGTTTCAATGAATATTTAAATGAAATCTTAAAAATAATTTTTTGTAAAACAAACAAAAAACAAAAACTTGATTCCCTTTTCGAGAAAACATAATTTGAAAACTCCTATCGACTGAACTGTCGTTTATCTTTATGGATGGGAACCGCTCTATAGATCACCGATTTGTGCGCTCTCTTCTGATTGCTCATCGGTGGCACATATCCGCTGCCTTTGCGTCCGCCTCCGGGAGCGCCGCCTTTCCTATACGATTGGGTTCGGGACGGGTTCTTACCGCTGACCGCTGTTCACAACAAATACACATCGAGTCAGACTAATGAGTGAATTATGTTATGAGATATGAATACATACGTAAGTCAACAAATGGCGGGACACCGAACCCGAAACTCTTGGCCACAGCCACCAAATCCAGACGATTCACATCGAATATATGCTTCAATGAGTGCGAGTCGTAAGCCCTCACAAACGCCTTATAGGCCTCCTTTGCCGACAGATTCAGAAAATAGTTCTTTGATATCAACTTTTCCAGCTATGGATCCAATGAGAGACAAATGGGTTTCATAAAAAATACATTAACATTAAATAGAGTGTATATTTTAGTGGCCATATAAACATTATTTGGGCATAAAATGTCATTCATGAAAATAGTTGGCCTATAAGTGCGTAAAATTTATGAAATATTTTTAAAAATATCGTTTTTCGAGGAAAAGAATCCCTACAAAGGATACACACATACCGTAGAGAAGGGATGGATAGGTGTTGTGATGGGAATAGATTTGTATTTTATTATTCATAAAATGTTTTTACATTTGAAACAAACGCCGAGAAGAGGATACGGGAGGGGGTATTGTATGTGTGGCGCGCGTGGGCTCGGGTTTGACAACACATTTTTAATTGAAAAGCTTTTATTACATAAAAAATATTTTTCTCCGAAAAGCAAAATTACTTTTCGTATAAAAATATAGTTAAATATAGACAAACATATTATGCATAAAATGATAGCAAATAGCGATTGTGTAGTGAATTATAGACTTAAATTATAAACACCCTTAAGAATATCGTGTGCCATAAAAAAGCAAATAAATAACTCATAAATTTATTGATACTTCAGATAACGGGCTTTAAAAAACTACCTGCGCTTAAGACTCCCTCATTCGCCACATCTGTGTATAAACACAGAAATTTGATTAACTTTTTGTTTTTTATAGTAATTGGAAAAAAATAGTTATCAAACTTATAATCAAAACAAATTGTTTGTGTTAAACAAGCTTTTGGTCTCATTAAATAAATAATAACAAAAAATGTTTGGTTTATTAAAACCAACAAATAATTGGCATTAAAAAAACTCGCTTTCATTATCACTACCCAGTAGTCAAACAGTGAGAGATGGGGTCAAGTGTTTGATTATTTGATTTATTTGTTACATAATATAAATCAATAACATTTGATAATCACATCAAATCCACATGTAATGGAAATTTTAGGTAAAAGTTTTAATCAACAAAAAATACATTTAAAAATCTGAATACAAATCAAATCGAGAGCACAAACATTGGCTGCAAAGACACCAAATGTTTTGAAAAAATCAGATTATGAGTCGCGGGACGGGATATGAAACTAAATTTAGAAAAAGTTCAGAGAGAGAGAGAGAGAGAGAGAGAGCATATTCTAAGACAAGTGATAAAAAAATAAGTCACTAATGATAAGAGCAAAACTGAGAGGAGGGGAAAAGGAGGATAAAAGTGTGGGCAATGATTATGGCATGAATGCACTGTTTAGGCAGTCGTGTGGAGAAAGAACTTTTGTATGCAATCAATGTGTGAGATATGGAGAGAGGGAGAGGGAGAGAGAGAGAGAAAGAGAGAACGGTCTGAATGAATGGTAGATAAGAGGGAATGAATGAATTAAGATAGAAATTACTCTGTGTTTGCAATTTGATTAGTGTTGATGAAAGTGACATCATTTCGGTTATACATTAGACGCTATGCTATAATCATAAGAAAATCATTTGCAAAATAAAGAGCACTTTCACTCCCAAAACGAAAGGCTATACAACTATACAACGACTACACGGTTTGGCACACAATCGATACGACACACGAGGAGTACATAAAGAAGTGAAAGATATTTATGACAGTCGAGTGCCCACAACAACACACGCATAACCTAATGATAAATTACTCGCAAAGTTATTCAACACAACAAATACTTTTTTGTCAGACAGTTCTAGTTTGCTGTTGACATATCGGTAGAGAGAGAGAGAGAGAGAGAGAGAGAGAGGGAGAGAGAGAGAGCTGTTTCATCCAACCGTACGGACCAATCAATTGAAAGGATTGGCACACAATCTAAACGATTACAAAACCAGAATCTATAGTATGAGATATTAAGCCAATCTTATTGACTATAGTATTACATCATTAAATGAATTAATCATTACATGTTTGACTCCTAAGCTTGCAATCAATTATGAAGTTTGAAAACAGCCGTCACTTCATAACCATTTTTAGTAAGCGTTTTATTGGAAACTAACAAATATAGCAAAAAAGTCATTAAAACAAATCCGATACCAATCTGTGATAATTAATGCATTTTAATACCATTTGGAGAAATGGCACCGAAAAAACATCACAAAAATTTGGTTATCTATTGATTTAACGGAAGGAATTGCCAACAAAAATGAAATGAAAGAAAGTCTTTAAAAGTCAGTGATTGAGAGGCGAAGGGATAGGAAGAAGAGATGATTATAATTAATGTCAAATGCAAACTAGATTTCAAACCATATTTACTCTAAAGTAAAGCACAAACACCGATAGGACCGGTAGTGTTCGGGTGAACGCCAATTGGCGATCAGTAAATAGCGAGTGAGTGAGCGATTCAGGAGAGGGGGAGAGAGAGAGAGAGAGAGAGAGAGTCACTGGTGGTGGTTGACAGTCATCTATCATTTGTCATCCAAATTAATGTTCAGATTTTTTGGGAGTAAATAATACATCAAAAGACAAAGTCGTCGAATTTGGATGAGAGAAGAGATGGAAAAACAGTTAAAAGTAATAAATAATTATTGGAGAGAAGGGAAGGGCGGCTCAGGAGTCACAGAGAAAGGGAGCACACGTTTCGTGAAATTGAGAATAACTTATAGAGATCTCATCTCATAGAGAATTGCGAGAGAAATATAGCTGAAGACGTGTCGCACACCTAATGTTTGAAGATTATAGAGAGATATTGGGATGAAAATGGAAATGCTGTTCAGGAACCGGGAATTTATCATTATGTTTGTGGACACACATTAATTATAGCACAATCACTCATAAGGAGAGAGAGAGAGAGAGAGAGAGAGAGAGAGTGCGAGTAAACATTAAATTACACATAAAAACATTAGTAAAAATATACGATAATTAAAAAACCAAGAAAGAAATACTTCTAACTCCAAGAGTAAGAGAGAGAGAGAGAGAGAGAGAGAGAGAGAGAGAGATTATGAAATGAATGCAACAACACATGACATTCACTTCTGTTATCCCAATATATGATTCTTAATATAAAATATTCTTAAAATATATTCCGCTTTTTTAAATGCCTTCAGAACTCTTCCCAATAGTAATAAAACATAGGATTCTATATATAAAAATGCACTCAAAAATGTATATAAGAAGTGGGAAATTCGTTATATAACACATACGAGGGGAAAAAGTTTGCGAAAAAGTGAAACAATTTTTATTATAATTACAAAACACATTAAAAGCAAAAATAAAAATAATAATCATTTGTATGAAGTGTTCAGGAATTTGCACGAAAATAGTGGAGACATTGAATACAAAATCTCGAGTCAGACACTGAAAAATATATTTAAAATGTAATTTTAATTTCAAAGACAAAACTGCAATCATAGGACAAACACAACAAAATTGTCAATTAATGAGACAAAGTGTCACTTTTGGGAAGTGCTTCGCAATGAACTCTAAGGAATGGATATTTCGCTATCGATGCGAAAAATAGCGACAAAATTCATACAACAAATGAGTGTAAAAAATGCGATCATTTGATGAATGGATTTGCGAAATGCAAATAATGGCACAAAATTAGCGCTAAAATACGATATAAACTCTCGCTATAAATCGCTTAAATACAAGGGATGGGCGCCGGGAGGGTATGGATAGAGAGATTCAATGGACTGGTAATGGAAAGCGAGAGAAAGATATAAATATAACGATAAACTCGTCTTTAGTTTGAGTCCAAATGCGAGTAAAAGAGAAAAAACGTTGAGAAAAGAGATATATTTCATGCGATGTAATAAATAGTTAACAAAATAACAAACAAAATACCAAAAAGAAAATTATGAACTAAACAGAGCTTTCAGTTTATCTTTAAACTGCATATAAATCTATGGGAGAAATGAACATAAGCTGTGATTCCGGTGCCAATTGTCACCAGAGCTGGCGATGAAATATTAAAATACAAGAAAAACTTTGCAAAAATTAAAATAAAATAAAACTTATTTTTTCTGCATCTTTGAAAGAATCCAAACAAATTTCATGAGTTTCACTCAATTTAGGAGAGAGAGAGAGAGAGAGAGAGAGAGAGACTGCGAGTAAACATTAAATTACACATAAAAACATTAGTAAAAATATACGATAATTAAAAAACCAAGAAAGAAATACTTCTAACTCCAAGAGTTGACTCTATATAAAACTAAACTCCAGTTCCTATATATAAAAACATATTTAAAAATAAAACAAAGTTATGAAATGAAAGATTTTTAGTGTACGACAAACGACACATCAAACCACCACTACTTTCACATTCAAATCGACACAATTTTCTAAATAATTGCAAATCAAAGAAACGCCAAAAATTAGTCAAAAATATAAGACGAATGGAGAGAATGTGTTTATTTTTTCACAATATATATAACATCACTAGAAATGACAGTCAATGAGCAGTTGAATAGTCATTAAAAAAAAGTCTCAAATGTTATTTTGAAGTCATAAGGAAAGGAACGATAGTATGGCAGACAAAACGAGAAAACAATTCAAAAGTATTTTTTGACAAACTCTTCGCAGACTCAAGGAATTAGTCAAACAAAAAATACAACAAAAAATCAAATTGAAAATTTTTCAAGAATTACAAAAAAAGTCGAGTGAATGGCAAATTCTCTCTCTCTCTCTCTCTCTCCATCTTTCTTTGGTCTCTCACTCTCTCCAAAGCAAGGATTAAATTACTTTTTTCACGCATTTATGACTTTAATTCTCGGTATTTTAAAAATTAACTTCAACTTAAAAATTAACTCAATAATAATCAGTGCTTTTGCATCCATTTTCTCCACCTTTTTTCAGTTGAATTTTTTCAAACAGTTATTAAAAAGTTTTTGCGATACATATTAGAACTCAGTGTTCGCTTCATTCAAAGTTTTCAAACTATTTTTTTCTGAGCAATCCTTTGAGGGCTGAATACAATTACTTTGTATTATTAGTATTGCATTTTGCCTACCGTTGTGTCACTAAATCAACACATTATGTAATACTATTTCACTAATAATTTCATTTTAATGTCAACAACGTTACAATGTGTTAAATGAGAATATATTCAAATAGTGCCAGAATTTAAGATAACTAATAGTAATGTTTTTTGTTTAAATTAATCAATTAATGAATTGTAGACAACTCTCTGTTTAGACAAAGATTGTTTAGATATGACTGAAAGTCATAAAACTCTTAATCTTGAATTTACCAGAAATTAAATTAATTCTCCAAAAAAACTAAAAAAGGTTTGAATGAAAAGTAGGGGAAAATGAGCGCAAATATTAAGCTCTATTGTATTACTGTTGAGCGCAACTAAACTAAACTCTTTCACTATATATATATGTTTTTTTGCTCATTTGATGCATAGCTGAACTGAGGGCTGAACTGGCGGTACAACTGGAAAGGGAACGGGAGATGAGAGAGCATTTGGAAAAACAATTGAATGAGGAACAAAAAATCAGAAGTAAGTCTACAATTGATAAATGAATAGCGAATATACAAACATAATATTAGTGTAGAATTTAATAAAACTCTTACCCTCTCTCTCCTCTCTCTCTCTCTCTCTCCCCTTTTTTATTCACTCTTTTTTCAGTGTTATATCAAAAGAGATTTAAAAAGGAGCGCAGATTTCGTCGGAAACTGGAGCATGAATTGCATCAAAAACATCAAAACCATCAAAACCCGCAACAGATAACTCAGAATAAACAGCAAATCACTCAAAACACACAACAAGTATCACTCAAGTCGTCGCCGACTCCTCCACCGCCACAACCGCCACAACAACAGACAACTGAAACAATAGATTAAATACAAATAAAGATCCCTTTTCGCAGTTATTTATAAACAAATAGTCTTTGCATAAAATTATTATTATTATTATTATTATTTAACTTCCAGTGATTTTGAGGTTAATATTACTGAACGCCAAATATTACAAAAACACATAATAAGTATTAATATACTGTATTGAATACAAAATACATTAAATAACATTTACATTATAATTATAACTTTCTTTTTCACAATTACATGGATTTCCAAATAGATTGATGTAAAAGTTTAAGGTATTATCAAAACAACATATCACTGTTTGCTTCTGTGTTATAGCAATTACTTTGAATTTCTTGTTTTACTCAAAAAAGCAGATTTGAAATGAAAACTGAATGTAAAATATACTGTTTGTTAGTCTTAATAATAATATGTCAATATTCATGGCATTCAATATTGAATATAACAATTAAAAGTAATACAAAAATATGTTAAACCAAATTATTGTTTCTGTTTTTTATACAAATTTATTGATTTAGAAATGGTCTTAAAATATTATTTCGGACGACTTATTCCTATCGCTTAAAAAAGTGATTTATTTTTCAATACATTGTATGTGAATATGTGTTGAAAAGTTTGTGATTCGCAAACAAATACATTTGGATTTTGTTGATTGAATGGATAGTTAGAACCCTTTTGTATTCATTTCATTATATTATACATTATATTATCAACAGTAGAGAAGTATTTTCATAATAAAATGGTTTTTACATAAAATATTGATAGAGAAAGAGGTGAAGGGGAGAGGAAAGGCATAGTTAACCACAACACTAGGGTATAGAAGAGGGCAACAAATAGAAGGGAATTAAGCAAAAGCAAAGGCAAGATTGAAAAAGCAGAGCTTATAGTGTGTTTAATTAATTAAACGACTGCTATTGTCATGAAATTAATTAAATTTGTGCTAAAAATGTTTTTTCTCGTCTCAATTCTTTGTTCAATTATTTTGTTTGTCCCCCATTTGAGGCCCCATTTGTGCAAATAAACATATTTTTGACAGCTTTGTTATAACTTGTCTTTTGTTTTTCCAACAATAACTCCAAAACTTATGTCATTGTTTAAAGTTATTCATTCGTCTTTAGCTATACGTTGAAAAGCAGTTCTGCATTTCTGAAGCAAAAAAGTTTTGTTTTGCTTACAAAAGCTGTGCTCACAATACATTGCATAACTAGTGAACAGTACTGTAAACTTGCAAACTTTCAGCTCTCAATGCATGATCTCATTTACATTCATTTCAAACGTCAGATTAATTTTATATCTTTAACACTGGCTTTAATTACTGAGAGAATAGCGATTCACCAAAAAAGTACTGTAACTGAAAGCAAAGAGAAAAGGATTGAAAGCATGAAATAGACAGAAACAGAGAGGAGTAGCGCTTTGTCTCACTAAACATAGTGTCTCTCTAAACATGAAGGGATGATCACTCGGCCTCTGATGCCAATCGAGTAAATAAATTGAACAAAACTGTATTCAACTCTAAACCAACACAACATAAGCACAGAATTGTGTAGACATTGAGAAAACATAAGATAAAACATATAAGACATACAATAGATATAAAAATATTGGAAAGATATCTTGATTTTGATAGCAGTGCTAACACCTGGCCATAGGGACCGTACTTTTGGTGTTCGCACTTGTAATTTATCTCACTGTCTCTCTTCGTATTCAAATGATTGATTGCATTTATTGTATGTCTTTGTGGCTCTTTGTGGTGGCTTTGCCTTCATTTCTACTCTCTATATATTATAAATATATATATCGTATATATACTACTCTATAGTCTATATATTCTCTCATATAATATAACTTTATTTATCTCAAAGAATTGAGAGAATAAGAGCTTCGAATAGAGTATTGCAGTATTGGGTGAGTAAGAGAGTGCCGGTGCGAGAGTGCCTGACTGTGTGCCCGTGCTCTACACGAGAGAGAGAGAGGTAGTGATAATGTTTAGGGAGGGAATAGATTTTGAGCACATTTTACGGTTGTAATTACAAAAGGCTGTAATTTTTGGGTTCTTTTTATAAAAANAGAGAGAGAGAGAGAGAGAGAGAGAGAGAGAGGGCGAGAGAGCTGGTTGGAGAGTAGATATCACATAGCATTTATTTATTCAAGTTGACATTGATGGATTATGCAAAAAAGTAATTTATTGCCAGATTTTAAGAGAATCGCCGAACACACAGAGCTATAGCACACCAGCGCTCTGTTGAGTTCACTTCTAATGCATTCTCATTGCATTCAATATATATTTTTCCCCACTTTTTATTTATTGTGAGATAACTTCCGTTTTCCGCTTTTAGATCCACAGCTCAACCCATTCTAATGGTTACTAACACTGCATTTCTCATCATTTTTTAGATCCATTTATGAAATTGAAGACAAAAGAGATGAACCAAACAAATCATCTCTAATATGCATATTATTATTATTATTACTTTATTATATATATTACTATATAATAGTTTAGTATTATTATTATTATCGCTTTTATATTATTCCCGTTTTTAGTCCTTACTATCATTACATTAGATATACTTTCTGTTGTTTTTCAAAATTGAATCAAAAAATTATAAAACATTTGTTATTCATAAAAATTGATTTCTAAAGTTATGACTGCTTTGCCGATGCAATCGTTATACAAAAAAGACATTAAATGAATGAATGAATGAATTTATTTATACATTCAATAAATGATTGATTTTTTTGAATGAAAATAATTCCAAAATATGGTTAAAATTATGAATCGGATATAAATCTAATATTAATGCAATAGTAATTGTAAGCCGGGCTTACAGTTAGCACTGGTAAGTGATTTGCTTATGGGGTTAGTGTTTGACTACAAATGTCATGTTTGTGTCAAAAAAGACAAAATATCTCTAATGTTATACACAGAGAGGCAACGAAAGTAAGAGTAAAGTGATCCACAAAACCATTTACTTGTTTGCCTCACTTGCGATGCCGTCTCAGTTCTCTGTCAGTGCTCTACCAGTGCTCACAACCAGTGCTATACTCACGGGTTTAGTTCATATCAATCAACTTAACGTAGAGTAGTGTCAGTTCTGGAGCACAACAATAGCACAAATTGGTTGCTCTGTTAGTTAGACGGCTGTCCTCTCCCTTCTCTTTGCGCAACACTTCCACTGCTAATAGAGTTTTGTGTCAATTGAGACCAAAAACACAAACACTCACTTCTTATGACCAGTCAGTCAGCCCTACCCTATCAGTCCTATCAGTCCCATCAGTCTTACCGGTGCTTTCTTTGCACAACACATGCATTTTTCGGTGCAAAAAAATGAAAATCTCATTTTGTGATCAATTAATTCAATAACAACTATATATTTAGTGATGACGTGAGATAAAAGCGAAACAACACGTGTTTTGACTGTTGTGTCCAAAACTTGACAAATGTTTTGTAGAGATGACACCTGAAAGAAG